ACTCCATGATGGTCAGTGGCCGCTTGATAGGTTGGTCTGTATACACGACGACTGCATGTGCCAAAAAGTAGGGCTTCAATTTTTTAACAGCCATGAAGAGTGCAAGACCAAATTTCTCCACTAAAGGATACCTCAACTCGGCATTTTTCAGTACGTGACTGACAAAGTAGACCGGGAGCTGACAGCCGTCTCTTTCAGCAAGGAGAACAACGCTTAACACATGATCAGAGACGGCCAGGTACATGTAGAGTAATTCTTTGGGCAAAGGGCTGACCAGCCTCGGCAAGGAATGCAAGTGAACTTTCAATTTCTGGAAGGCGGCCTCAGCATCCGGCCCCCATTCAAACCTTTCCTTTTTCTTAATTGCCTGGAAAAAGTATAAGCATTTGTCGCCTGATCGGCTTAGAAATCTTCCCAAGGCCGCCAGACAACCTGTTAACTTCTGAACCTCTCGGATGGTACGAGGCGACTGCATGTCAATGACCGCCTGCACCTTCTCAGGGTTCGCCTCTATTCCTCTCTGATTGATAAGGAATCCGAGAAATTTCCCAGACTCAACTCCAAAGACACATTTCTTGGGATTGAGCATGACATGGTGCCGCCTGAGTGTGGCGAAAGTTTCTCGGAGGTCCGACAGATGATCTTTCTGAAGTTTAGTCTTGACAATCATATCATCAATGTATGCCTCGACGTTTCTCCCAATCTGATCAAAGAACACAGTGTTTATCATTCGCTGGAAGGTAGCCGGGGCATTCTTAAGACCAAACGGCATGACCGTGTAACAGTATAACCCCTGATCAGTGACGAAGGCCGTCTTCTCCTGATCTTTCTTCCACAAAGGAATTTTATGGAAACCAGAGTAGGCGTCCATAAAGCTCATCAAAGCATGGCCGGCTGTTGAGTCGACCAGGTTATCAATTTTAGGCAGAGGGTAACTGTCTTTGGGGCACGCCTTGTTTAAGTCTGTGTAGTCTACACACATTCGCCAGGTGCCATTCGGCTTTTTAACAAGCACCACATTTGCAACCCAGTCTGGGAAGTAACATTGCCGAATGAACCCTGCATCAAGTAATTTTTTAACTTCGGCGGCTGCCGCCTGACTTCTTTCTTCGCCATGGTTCCGCTTCTTCTGCCGTACCGGCTTTTTATTCGGATCCACGGCCAGTTTATGTACCGCCAGATCAGGACTAATGCCTGACATTTCATGGACTTCTAATGCAAAGATGTCCTTGTATTCTTTCAATAGTTTGTGAAAGTCGTCACCTAGGACTCTCAGAGCAGTCGTCCCAACTTTGACTGTTCGGTCAGGACGCGAGTCGTCTAGGATCAGGTCCGTATGCTCACCAGCCGGCTGAGGGAGGAATTCATCCGACTGCTCCTCTGCCAATGATTGCTATTTTCTGTCTTTTCTTGCGGCCCCTGTCTGGGATGCCTTTCTCTTCTTGCCGCCTGCTTCTTACACAGGCGCACTCTCCTTGACATTGTCAAGGTCTATTTTTCCACCACTCGACCCAGTGGCTTTAACAGTGGGCTTGACATCCGAGAGATAGCACTCTCGGGCCATCCTCTGATCTCCCCTTAGGGACCCGACTGTCCCATTATCCCTCTCAAACTTGAGCAACATAAGAGATGAGATTATAACAGCCTTGGAATTATTCAGGGTTGGTCGTCCCAGAATCATGTTGTAGGCCGAGAGTTCTTCTACTACCAGGAACCGGACTACCATGTGTCGTCCTTCCCCTTTTTCGCCCAGGCGGATGGGTAAATCCACTCGTCCCACTGGGTGGACGACACCTCCTCCAAACCCTACTAAAGGGTGGGATGCCGGATGTATGCAATCAGTCTGATATTTTAGTTTCGACAGACATTTGCTACTGATGAGATCTGAGGAGCTTCCGGTATCTATGAGGATTCGGCCAACTCTCTGGTTGGCCACTTTACATTCAATAACGATAGGGTCGTCATGCGGCCCTCTTACCCCTCCTAGATCTTCTTCAGTAATGACAATCTCAGGAAATGAATATTTGGAGGGTCGTTCTTGGTGAACGGAATTTACATCTAACCGCCTGATATTGTCTTTGTTGCCCCTAATAGTGGGGCCGCCTCCTGAGAAGCCGCCTGCAATGGTGTAGACGACTGCATCATCTGTATCGGAGCTGTCGGCCTGTTGATTCTTTTTGGCCGACTGCTTTTTTGAGGAAGTGTTCCCCGTAGATTTCTTGACATAAGTGTCAAGATCACCTTGCTCAGCCAGGCGGTCCAGATACCGCATGAGACTGATGCAGTCATTGGTGTGATGACCAACATCTTCATGATAAGCACAGAATTTTTCTTGGTTCCGGTTTTTTGCAGAACCCTTCATGGGGACCGGCTTCTCAATTGAGATCCGTCCCTTGATTTCTTTTAGGATAAACTGGTTATCCTTGTTAAACGCATACTTTGGGGAGCATGGTTTGAATTCTTTTTTCTTTTTCTGGGCCGGCTGTTTAGAGGAATCAGCCGCCCAGACCTCTTTTCTTTTCTCGTCTTTGTTTGACGACTGTTTCTGTCGTCCTTCTCTTTTGTCGAACCTTTTCCCGTCCGACTGTTTTCCCGTACTACAAAGATCAGTCGCCTGTATATAGGCTTCCTCTTCAATCAAGGCCTCTTGAAGAGTCGCCACCCTCTTTCGGACCAAATCAAATTTGAAGGTCGACCCGTCTTTGAGACCTCTGAAAAAGTCAGTATAGGCTACTTCATCCGGTAACCCTTGAATCTGTATTCTCATCAGGTTAAACCGCCTGATGTAAGAACGAAGCCCCTCCTTCTCGCCCTGCTGAATTGTTCCTAAATCAAGGGTCGTCTTCTTCGCAGGGATGTTCATGGCGAAGTTGGAGGTGAATAAGTAAGCAAGCGTCCTGAAGTTATTTACACAACCAGTCGGCAGGTTGCCGAACCATTGTTGTGCGATTCCTTTAAGAGTCGCTGGGAAACACTTGCACTAAGTGGGATCATCCAACCCGTGAAGGTACATCAGGTTGGTGAAGGCCATAAGATGGTCTTCTGGGTTAGTAGTGCCGTCATAGGCGCCTACTAATACATTTTTCACTTTGGCCGGCTGAGCGGCTTCAGTAATTTCCTTGGAGAAGGCCGACGGCTGTTCACCAAGTCTAAGCAACCGTAGCTGCCAATCCATAGGTTGGACGTTTTTTGCTGCATGTCCACCAAACGGAGGTGGCTGTAAAAAATATTGTTGTTGCGGCACAAACGGTAAGTTTGGTACCGCCTGGTCGCTATGAAAGCCAGACTGACGGGAGGTGCCGCCTGACTGACTCTCATGATACGACTGCGTATGCCTCATTGAGGTATTTCGCAGACTGTCTTGGAAGTTTGAAGTAGAGGCCGACTCTGACAATCGGTCACTCTTCTTCTGCTCTAGCAGTAGCCGAGCGTCTGTGTATGATTTCCTCGACCCGTCCGCCTGAATATGACGAACAGGTTTCCTATTTCCTGGAGTAGGAAAACGGTATTTTGTGAAATCAAGGGCAGTCGGCTCCCGCTTCCTAGATTTAGGATGAGGAGTCGCCTCTCGCCCTTGAACTGGCTTCCTCTTCAGTGAAGTGGAAGGTTTCTTAGCCGACTGCTCCTTGTCCAGAGCAGGCGGCTTCTTGTTGATCAACTCTTGAATTTCTCCCTTGAAGTCCCTCATGAAGGTCATGAGTTCGTTCCTTGTGATGGGAGCAGACCCATCAGTCGGCTGCTGCCGAACAGGCGGTGCGCCTGCTGGCTCACTTCCAGTTTGAAGATGTTCCCGTTCCCTCCTTTCGGTATGACGGGTACGTCGGGCCCTTAGGGTCCCGTCTGAAGCTGTGTGAGCTTCAACTTCAAATTCACTCTCAGTATCGTGGTCCGACTGAACTTGAGGGTCGTCTAGGGGACGCCTCTCTTCAGGAGTCGGTACAGACTTGGATGCCATCTCAGAAGTACTCTCCCCACAGACGGCGCCAAATGTTTCGGGGTTTTCTGATGTCCTGCGGGAGAGTTACAATTCCGAGACTGGAACCGGACGCCTGTACCTGCAAAACAACGGAGACTCCTGGTGGTGGGAGCTCCGCCTCCAACGGTCAAGTTAGTACTTGATTAAGGAGTAATTAATGCGGAAATTAAAGTGATTGGGTCTCTCTAGGTGAGAGTGTTTAATGTAGGTAATCTGCTTTGTTAGCGTGATCAGCCTGTTATCTCTGTAATCCCCCTTAATGAGGATTAAGGGAGGTATTTATAACCTTGGGAAACGTGCCAATCCTAGGTTTAGGTTAACCTAGGGCTGATTGGGCTTCCCTCGGAAGTTGGGCCTGGGTGGCCGGTTATCCCAGGTGTCATGGGAAGGACACGTGTCGTGTCGTAATTGGTCCTAGGTGGACGAATCATTGCTTGACACGTGGCAGGCTCCTATTGGCCCATGTGACGGATACATGGCGGAACCTGATTGGTCCACTTGTCAGATGGTAATTGGTGGGAGCAAAATCCCCTAATCACTTTCTATTCTATAGTCAAGCAATTTGCCTAACATGTTTAACAATTGACATTGTTAAAATATATAGGTAAAGAAATTCTTATATTTGAGATATTTGGAATTTCACCCAATTTAGTGAATTTAAATTTTATATCGTTCAAGGAGGTAAATTTTTCAATATTGAAAAGTGACTTGACTTTTTTTTTTTTTTTTAATGGTTTAAGCAAAGGTAGCTGGTGTGTAAAGTATAAAGAGATTTGATTTCATATCATTATTATCACGCGAAACTTTAACCGATAAAAGTACCTTATCCATCACAAGTTACCCCCGAGGCCCCGAAGACTTACTAGTGAAACTTGAGGAATTCTTAGCCTCTAATAATTAGAGTTATGGATGACTCTAATAACACACGTTGGTATTTCACATGATACCAACAACAAATTATATTAAAACCAACAAAATATTTTTGCATTCGTTGGTATCATTAAATAAGATTGTTGGTATCATGATGATACCATATAAAGTATAGTCTTAGAATTCCTCGTGAAATTTAATCCCATAACCTTATTTTACTATTAGACCAAGCCACAGTAATAACACGATACGGAGTATATAATTATATACCAGTACACGCACACTGTGTAATATTTAGGGCGCGAAATCCATCATTTTGGTAGGTGCACTAATGGAGGTGACGAACCTCTGCAAACAGGTAAAATTTTGTTAATGGCGAAGTAATTCCTCCATCTCACTAATTAATTTAGTTGTAAACTTCATTTTTTTTTTCTCCAAATCAAACTCTTCAAAAATTAATCATAATTTTGGTTTGATTTTCAAATTTCTGCAGTTGATTTCACTTGCAATCCAAAGATGTCGATTATCCGGAGATCCATGTCGACTATCTGTGTTCGTCAGACGAATCACGAATTCCGATTCACTACTCACTCAAATCTCAAGTATAATATATCTCTTTGTGTAATTGTTTATAATATTGTAATTATTATGCACTCCAATTGTTTGTTTTTGTGCTCATTTTATAACTATGTGAAATTAAATGGATGTGAAAGTATTTGTTCAACTACGGGCTCGTTCCGTGTGTTGCGGCCAATTTTATGATCTCAAAGTCATATGATATAGGTTGTATAATGAAATCATAATTCGTCATGGTCAGAAATTCAAAATAAATAAAAAATAAATTAAAAAAAAAAAAAACTTGATTTTGAGAGTTCATTCATGCAATTTAATTGATTTATTTGTTATTTTTATCCCCTAATGGTTGTAATAAGATTATGATGAGCCTAATTTGATGGGAAGTTAGTTTTCTTTTAATTTTTTGTTTGTGGACAGTTTCTGATACTGGAGCTGGAAGTTGCTTGAAGGAATTCCAGGACTTGAAATTAGGCTATAATGGGTTTTCCCAGTGGGGTGAGTATCATGAGCTGCTTTACTGAATTTTGTCCGAGGCACGGGCCTTAATGATATCGATATCTGATGTTCATGTCTACTTATGGTTGCTTGTTTGGTTCCATTTGTGTTATAATGCAGATGGTATGCTTTCAGTCACAACCACGAGTAAGTTTAACTCATTTAATGGTTTCTTTTCATTTCCAGCCTTATTTTGGATTACTAGTGTGGCTAAACATTTTTCTGGGTATTGTCTGATGATGATTTTCTGCTTGAGTTTTGTGGAAGAGCCAACTGAAAGTGTTCTCTTCTGTGTTTCCTACTTCTGTAAAGATGAACTTGGCATAGTAACCCACGGCTTTCTTACTTTGTACTTGTATGTAATATGTGTATTTCCAATACAAAGTGAGCATAATGAAATTGTGACATTTTCTCTAAGGTTTCAGAAGTTATAGAGAAAGAAACTCTTGGGCTCTTCCGCCTCTTCGCCTCTTTTTCCTGCACCAATTATCACAATGCTCTTTGCTGAACAGTTGTAGAAAGTATAGACACATTAAGTAAGAAATCAGGATAACTGGAAGAAAAGGGATAAAAATTTTAGTTGGCTGTTCAGAATGCATGCTATTGTTTTATAATGGCAATAATCTTCATATAATTCTGAGATGTAGCCTAACTATTAGGATTATTATTTTATGCCAAATAAATTGCTGTTTCTCAGCCAGCAGCCTGCAGTTATTAATGGCCATATCTGCAGGCCTTGGTGATTTTGAGCTTTACCATTACAAGGTAAACCTAAAAGAACACGCTCCTAACAGAAAGCTAATTAAGCTCCCTTCAAGCCCAAAGAAAAATGCCATTTTCAGGTCTGGTTATCAGCCAACAACTCTAATTTTCCTATTTGTATCCGTGGTTGGAGAATTCATATTTCTATTGATTCTTCTCTTCCTCAGTGGAACTGAAGTGTTTGTGACTTCTGCTGAGGAGATGGAAGTAATATTGCAAGATATGACTTACTTTCTCAGAAAGGTACACTGCATTTCCTTGAAGTCTTCATCTGTTTTTAGTTAACTCCAAATGATTGACAATTTCTTGTATCGTTGTTATCATGACTAATATGATTTGGTTCTTTAATAGGATAATTTTCCTGGAAATTCTATTTATTCTTAAGCAATTGGCTTCATCTTTCACTCAAATTGACTATGGAAGCATGTTTATCTGCTTGCCCTTTTTCTTCTGCGCATAAAGACTTATATTTACTTGTTTCTGCAGATGGTTATTTTGAAGATAAATGTAAGTTCAACTCCATTTTCTCTATATGTAGACCAGCTTAAGACATTACAATAGAAAGTTCTGCTGTTTGTAATAATTTAATAGGAAAACTAAATACTTATTTCTGTCTTGCCCCCCAGAACATAGCAATTGAGCTGGTGGCTGAATCACATGATGAAGATGGATTACAACACGAAAATGCTGTTCTGGCTACTGAGTTGACATCACCTGATTCAGAATCATCAAATGTACTACAGCTAGTATCCGGGCTTGAGGACTATGTTTGTAAACATAGAAAATTAAGTGAAAAGTGTCTGTCTTGCTTTTCGAGCAGGTGAACAACTATTTCTGTGCATGCTATGGTACCTCCATTATGATGAAATATGATACGGGCTCTCCATCTTTTCAACAATAGGAGAAAAGAAACAACACAAGTGGAAATTAGGATATGACAAGACTTTTTTTTGTGTTTGTGTGTGTGTGTTTGTTCTGTATATCTGTAATGGTAAATTGTGCTTCTCTTTTTTTTCTCAGGGACAACCTGAAGGTGGGTAATGGACAGGCATGCCGACAGACGCATGGTAATGATGTATTTTCTGTGGAAGTTGTAATTTTAATCAGTGAAATTGAGCTATTGGATTCATCAGATCCATCATGTTTGAAGGCTTTTGAGCCAAAAACAGAGGTCAGTTGTCTGTGTTGGATGAAATTCTACGTAGTATTAGAGATGCTTACTGTGCATTAATGACCTGATGAAGTCTCTTGGAGATCCTGAGAGAAGTTTTGATCTGGTTTTTCACTTTGTCGTGCTTGTTGTTGAAGTTTGGTTGTTGTTTCCCAAAAAGCACTGTACTTTTATGAGTAAATAATCCTTCAATTACATTTCATAGATGTCCAGCTGCATAACAAATATAAATATATCAAATATTAGCATTTTCTGATACATGTACTTTGAAACATCATGGAAAACATGCTCTGAAATTTCTGTTTCACACATCAATTCAGAATCCCCTATTGCCTTATTATAAATCCGGTCACAGAAGATTTTTAGTAATTTTGTAGTGGATACACAGAAATATGTATGTCTAGGCTTATGAACTGAATGCAGGATGGGTTTACAACATTTATGTAACACGAACTTTTTGACAGGTTATATATTTCAGAGACTTCTCGCCATGTTCAATCCATCAGTCAGCTTCCAAAGCATTAAGAAGCATCAAGTGGAATAACTATGGACTGACTCCTAGAAGTATTGCAGATGAAGAGAACTCTCTATTACTTGAATGGGAGAACTTGCCACCATATACTCATATCGATATTGCCCTTCATTGTTATAATAAGCAATATCCATTACAAGCAATATATGTTGCACTTTTGTTGTTATGTTAGGCAATAGTAATCAGAAGCTACATGCATCACTTGTGTTGTATCATGCTTTATACAGTTGTTCCTTGACTTGTTTCCAAGGCAAAAGTACCACCATTAAGGCAAGGAACTCAACTCGAGACAAAGCTTGTGAAGGAAGCCATTAGTCTTGCGCTGGATGATTTGAAGGAAAGGTATACTGGAGCTCTTCTTAGTGACCATGCTCTCAAGGTACCTTTACAAACACTCCAACTGTTGGATCTACTTTTTTTTCTAATAGCAGCCAAAAACATGTTTGTATGTCTAAATTTTGATCTATTATTACTGACATAAAAGTGGATTTACTCGATGTTACCTAATGAGAGCAGTTGCTAACCATATATAGCATCACATACCTCTGGAACACAAGCAAAGCTAAAAATTACAACTACTAGTAGCATGCTGAATGAACCTCGTGTTTCTACTTGTACACAATCTCAGATTTAGTCTTCTATTTTGTTTCTCAGATCCACAATCATGCTCCTGATCTTGCAAGGAGCATTGCTGGCTTGATTCTTTCCTCAGATGACACCAACTTTCAAAGTGAATGTTTCAGTCTCCTTGGCATGCATCTGGACAACATTGAAGAAGAAGCCATAGAGAAATGCATAAAAGACAAGATTATGTCTGCCATTGACACGAATGACAGGAAGCCACCAAACTTGAGATGCAGAGCAGCTGCACCATTTCTTTTCGGAGATGATCATCTCCAAGAACCAGAGTACATGGATGAATATGATGAAGGTGAGGAAGATGGCTGCAATTTGATGGATTTCTAATTATCTATGGTATTTTATAACCTTTCAAATCTATTATTGTCTAGGATTCTCAGTAATTTAGGTTATGTTGCAGCTTTTAAACAACAACAGAATTAGGTACTATGCTTAAAGAAGTCTTTTATCTTTGTTTAGATTAGATGAAATACAAGTAAGATGTCTGTGTGGTGTGATATGCAACACATTTCATACATTCAACGTATAGTATGTAATGCAAGTAGATATGTAAGCTACCTGTACAGGTGTGCGTTTCAGAACTGCAAATGTTTGGACTAATGGCAAGGGATTTCAGTCTGAAAAGATACCCCCCAACCCCCCAAGGGTTGCATTGTTTGCTCCAAAAGGGGCAGTTGAGAATAGCCGACCCCACTTATGGGATTGTGGCTTTGATTGATTGTACTTGGTAGAATAACCAACTAAGATTTTTATATATGCATAGACAAATATTAGAGCTTAAAACCTATGTAGAACAGAAAAGAGAATTTTGTTGAAACAGAGAAATGCGGAAATAATGTAATCATGGAAACACAAAAACTCAAGCAATAAATTAGTAGATTTCCTTGGGCGATCACTTTTGAGGAGTGAAGGAGAGCAAGCACAACCAACCAACGACATGTTATGTTGTGCAAAGAAGAGGGATGAGAGATGTGGTCGCTACACCCTACATGGGTGTTGCTTGATACATGTGAGACTATGATGGGGCACAGTTAAGCTTTAGCAAGGTAGTTAAGTATTGTTGCCTCAAAGCAGACACGGGCTAGAGAAATGTGGGACTGAGAGACAGCACAAATCCGCGCTGGGTTCTTTAAGTATTAGATACATTCGACTATGTGAGATCCCATAGCTACTGCCGCAACAAACAGAAACACCATAAAGTGACATATGTTGATTGTTGATTCAAGAAACACCGCAAAAGCCAATATAGTGAGAGGCCAAGTGAAGACATTTGGGCATCAGAAGATGATGAAAGGTTCTTTAAACACATTCTTTTTTGTAATGGGTTGTTAGGATAATTATGCCTAGCATTGCTAAGATGGTCAAATTGCTCATAGCCATGAACCCATGATAGGCAATAGTTGCATAATTCTATCGCTATATCTAACAGGTATATTGAGTTTCTATTAAATGTTCTGCAGAAGACCAAGAGACGACTTGAGCGCTGAAGTCAGAAAAACTTTCATAACAAATTATTACAAAGAACTTTTGAAATGCATAGAAATGTCATACATCAGTAAAAGATCCACCATACAATTCAGTCGCTAACACAAACAAGTGAAAAACAAAATTAACACTAAAAAAATATTGCAAATTCTTAACCAATCGCTAACTGGCCTTGTACTTTCCAGATAATACAGATTGCATTATCCAAAGGCACAAAGCCAAGCAAACTACTTGGCAATTGGTTAAACGAATAATGTGGACTGATTTAAGGATAGTAATACAAAATCACTAAACTGGATCACTACTATAAGGAGCCACGAAAAGGCGCCTAGTATTTAACTTCAGTTACAACTATTGCAATTCACAAAATGGGAACCCAAAGAATCTTTGAAGTACAAACAACGCTCAACACTATTTTAGTAACATATATCCATTTGCAAAGCTCTAAGCAAAAGGCTTATAGCTGCCGTCCACAAAATTACAACCACAAACTGAGTTCTCTAAGGTAAAAATGGTTAAAAACGAAGCGACTTAGATAATGTTCACCCCTGCATCCAGGACCAACAGTCCATGACAAAATCTCAATTCCTTAAGCCTGAAACCAATAGAAGACAGATATTAATGACCAAATAGCGTGGTAGTATTTAAAGGGGAAAAAAAAAAAAAAAAAAAAAAAAAAGAAGGTATTTCTCTAGGATCACGTTCAATTTTGCAAAGTCTCCTAAAACAACCAGATTAAATGATCCATTGCAAATCGCTAAATGGTAAAAGAGCATTGAAAATAGCCAAAACAATCAGATAAATTAAGTGGCATATCTAACCTTGTTTGCAATGTTGTTGGAAAGCCAATCCAATCCTTCATAAAGTCCCTCACCAGAGGTTGCACAAGTGCTCTGGATATACCTGAGAACAGAAGAAAATCAGCGTAATCACTTAAGTACGAATCTATTAAAAAACAAAAAAAGTAAGCAGCAGATCCTCAAAGAGTTTTACCAGTGACGCTGTCGGAGAGAGTGCAGGCCAAGCTTATCAGTAATTTCAGCAGCATTCATTGCATTGGGAAGATCTTGCTTGTTAGCAAACACAAGCAACACTGCTTCGCGCAACTCATCCTGAGCCAAAAAAAATGTCACAACTCAGGTCCAATCCAAGTTTCATAGATTAATTTTAAAAAATGGGCAGAAATTAAGTTTTAAAATTAGAATAATGCGGCAGTTGCTCAACACCAACATGTTTGAGAGCATCTATATGTATAGTACTTCAGAACTGGTGTGAAAGAATCTCTTCCGCCTACCATAACACACTATGTATCTATGATACTACTATTTAATCAATCAGTCCACAAGAATGCTACATACCTCATTCAACATCCTGTGCAACTCATCTCTTGCCTCAACAACACGGTCTCTATCATTACTGTCAACCACGAAGATGAGCCCTTGAGTGTTTTGGAAGTAATGCCTCCACAATGGACGGATCTGCAACATTGGTTTAGTCAGAAACAGCTCATAAGAAGTCTTTAACTAGAAGAGGGGGATGGTGGGAGGAGGATGAGAGAGAGAGAGAGAGAGAGAGAGAGAGAGAGAGAGAGAGGGGGGGGGGGAGATCCTATTCTTCAGTAAATTAGCAAACCGATACAATCCATATATATGGATGCTAAATGCACAATTGATCAACAAAAAACTATATGTGAAAGACAGTATGCAAACCTTGTCTTGACCCCCAACATCCCAGACAGTGAAGCTGATGTTTTTGTATTCAACAGTTTCCACATTAAATCCTGAAAAAATAGACATCCCCCTTTAACATACAAGCAGCAAAAAGGTTTTCTAAAAGTAGTACATGCTGTGAAAATACAAGATATATCAATAAAGTTCTCAAAATAGCACATATCCCACTATACCCAATTCATAATATATCACACTAGAAAGCACCAATTATCAAAGCAACTGATGAATCTACTATCCCATGTAAAATAAAGATTTGCCTTCCTGCTTATTAGACGGGCAAAAGCATGACCTCCCACTGCTCATACAACTTATAGTGTATTGGGAATTTGGATTTGGGGCACAAGTCTTTTAAGTCAGGGCTCAGGAACAAGTGATTTCAATTACACTGCAGTATAAACATTATGGAATATGGATCTATCATACATGCAGCAGAGAATGTCATCAACATGGCCTCTTAATATTTAACCTAAAGGAGCTGTGAGGCCTTCTACCATGAAGGCAACCTAAAAAAACTATTTTTCTTCCCGAAGGGACTCAGAACTGTGCACAGCTCCTAGGTATCAGAAAGTACTTTGGCAAATATGGTCTCCCACCTTTACATCTTCCATCATTCAACTCATTATCATAAAATTGTGTTACAAATTACATTGTCAGTATCCCAGAGATTGAAAAACTTCATCACAAATGTTGTTTAAAAGGAAATAATGAAGCTAGCAGATTTAGATTACAAGGCGTAAAAATGGTCACTTCTAGCAAGATTGTGACCCACACAGAGACCCTAAGACCAACAGAAACAGACAGTGTATAAATAAGTTCAATGCAAAACTTCACCACATCGCATCACAAAAGCTGCATGGGAACAGCCATTTGATACGATTAAACCCAATGCTATTATGTGACTGCCCCACATGATATAAAAGTCAACTTGCATCTCAGAGGTCCAAGCAACATAGTTAAATCATTGTACAACAGCCCAATCATATGCTTCCAACACCCCCAAAAAAAAGCCACTCATGATTGATGAATGCAGATTGCACAAGATCCACAATTCAATACTACCAGAATTGAATTTAATAAATGGATACAACTAGTTTACTCACAACCACGACCATCTAACACCATAAATTACAGTTAAATTTAACATAGATCAAGCAGAAATGCGATAAAAGAGAGAGAAGGATCATGACTCACCAATAGTGGGGATAGTAGTGACAATCTCGCCAAGCTTGAGCTTGTAAAGAATGGTGGTCTTACCAGCTGCATCGAGACCTACCATAAGAATTCTCATTTCCTTCTTCGCGAAGAGGCGGCTAAACAGCTTAGTGAATGTAAGCCCCATATTTCTCCCCTTGAATTAGTCACTAACTTCTACATTCAGTAAAAATCGATGGATCAACATCCGGCACCAATATGTAATAAACAAATCAGGCTCATTAACAAAATGAGATGCATAATTAAGCTGGATATAACAAAACAATGTAAGTGAAAATGTATCAGGGACTAAAGATCACCCGGAATTCTGATCACGAGTTAGAAATTCAAAATCTAGCTGTAAGTTCCCGGATCCATATGATTCAGGCAACATATATGCCAGATCGCAATTACAAAAATGCAAGCGAGTACTAAAAATCAAAGTAAATAAGCTGATTTCACCATAAAATTACATACTTCAAACATAATTAAGCTTCCGAACTACGAACATTTGCGCATTACTCAAAGATCTCAGAAATCAGAAAGTTTTCCACCAATTTAAAGTCATAACTACCAAATCGCATCGCATTTTCAAGCTAAATTCAAGTCGCAAACAACAAAACTAAATCGCCATTTTCAAAATTCAAATAATTTTACAGATCTACAAGATTTACACCACAAAATCCTCAGATCATTGAAATAAACAATCCAAAATCACAAATCCTAAAATCAACAGTAAGAATCAAACATCTAAATGAGAAATTCTCAAATCTAAACCAACAATGAGAATGCGTGATTTCACAAATTCACTAACAACACATACTGAAAATCAGATCAAATGCTGAAACAATAATCACATTCAAAATCCGTTAAATCACTCAAAAACCTAATAATTCTCGAACAATAACCAATTACAAACCCAAAAAAAATCAATGCGAAGATCAAAACAAAGATCACATCAAATCGAAAAACGAAGAAAATGCAAAAGAGAAGGAAATCGAAACGAACCTGTGAAGCGAGGAGAGAGAAAATGGTGTAGAGAGAGAAAGAGGAGAGAGAAAGATAGCGTAGAATATGAGTGAGAGAGGAGGAGAAGAAGAAGAGAGGGAGGTGGGATATTATAAGAGGGGGGGTACCGAATTATTTGGTGTGAAGTTACGGAAATACCCCTTGAGATGTGAT